ACTGATTTATATCGTTCTTTTCACCAACTAGTTTCTTCTTCCTGTATTATATCCTTATATGCGATCTTTGTTTTATACATTACTATTATTGAATTAACTACTCCTATAAATTCGGTGTTCATCTTGTTGTGCTAATGAGGTATGGCAACTTGGACCGATGCATATATGTGCCTGGTCCTACGTTGCAGCTGACTGAATTACTGACTGACTGACTGACGACAGTCGAACGTTGGAGCTTCACTGTTGGCAAATTATAAAATAGAAGAAAAGCTGGAGAAGTGTTTATTTTGATAAGAATTGAAATGTAAAGAAAATCATGTATATTTATGTTAGCATTGGTTAAATCAACAATATAATTCGACCAATCCTCAACGAGACATATTATTGCTACTGTTCAATAGTAGCATACCATGTTGATATTTTAGAAAGCTCCATTATGTTCTGATTGGATGGAAACTCTTCGGCTCATTTAGGGTCTCTGGAGGCTCCATTGTAGTTCTCCGAAGCTGATACGATAGAAAATACCAAATTAAACAATGTAGTTTCTAACAACATATTAAATATGTATTTATCACTGAGTAATGTATCTATGATTTGAATGAACCAGAACACAATTGGGCGATAATCGAATGTATTTGAACACAACATTACACAATAACTTGGTGAAATATGAGAATCATACAGTAAATAATTGATTTGCAAAATATCAATCATCTGTCTTTGACTTCATTGCTCTTACGTTTCTACATCAATCATTTTTTTGTTCTCGTTCTCTTTTCATTGATCTTCTTAACCTTCTACCTCCTGGTGTTTCACTTTTGATTGATGGTAAATACTACTTCTATCTATCGATATCAGTAGTATACTCCCCCAAGAACATTAATAATGATAATATAAATCTTAATCTTAGTAATCATAATTAGAAAAAATAGTTGTTATCTGATTGCTATTGGTTGGTCATCATTGTAAGTCAATTTGATAAAGTATCATGTCAACCCGTCAAAAGAATGAACAAATGAATAAAACAGCCTCTAAGACAGCTTGAATCAATAGTATAAAATCAAAGAGACAGAAATTGACTTGATGCTTTTTTACTACAACAACTTATTCAATAGATTAATGTCTATATTGAAAATAATCTTGATGTATGTATACATCTATATAAATGGTTGTTATGTTTATCTCAGTTGACAGTTTAGTATAGTTCAGTACTCTCTAATGAAGAACATTGAATAAGATATTAGCGGACCAGAGTTATTTCATGCAATTAATTCCCTTTATGAATTTTAATAAAACCAGAACAAACATGGATGCAGAATAATATGAATTACCAAGGTAGTAATAAGTTTATAACTGTGTCTTTGTAGATACACAGATAGATACACAAGTTTGAGTTTTTGCTTCAGAAAAACTGAAGAGAATCAGTATTTATTTTTATCTCCTAATAATTTTAGAAAGCTTGACGAATGTCAATAATATGCCAAGTATCAAGTAAATACCGAGTTATTTTACTCTTATGAACCATCACTCCCTTACAATCTCAATTTCTTTGGAACATACATGAAAAATGTTTGAAACATATACTCCTCTTTTCTTTCTCTTTCTCTCTTGGTTTTCCCAATGTATATGCTTTACCATGTACATGAGTTATTTTTATTAGAAATATCAACCAATTTTAATGTAAACCATAATGACAATCTGAAAATATCACATTTGATGGCAGAAATCTTTACATCTCTTTCTCTATATGTATATGTATATATATTATGGCATTTTATATCAATTCACTTATGATACCGATAGCATATTCCATAAAATTTATATACATTAACATAAATATGCTTATTCAGGTCATAGAAACACAATAAATTATGACAAATAATGTTTTATCTTTCTTTTAGTAACTAACTAGTTTAAATTGTAGTTTGTTCGGTTGTTTGTTTTTTTCAAATGAAATCGATAACAAACTGTGGGGGGAGAGGCTTGTTGTTCATATGGCTAAGTGATTGTGAATAGATAATTTTGGATTTTATTCTTAACAAAATTCCATTTAGAAGATGGAAAGAAAAAACAAACAATTTAATCATTAAACATTACAGAATTAACTGTCTCATTTGAAATGATATAAAATATCCCCTGAAGTGAATAGTTTCCTTTCAAGAACTTTGTTACATATTTCTAGATATTATCACCAGGACACTGTTCTAATTTGTGCCCTATTCATATATGATGTAATGATACTGCAAATTAGAGAACAGGAAGTTATCGACTAAACTAATGACGCATAAAGCCATACGAGTAGTCTAGCGTCTTTATCGGTCTATCTCCCTGCCTAGCTTTGCCTGCCTGTCGGAGTCCAAGACACTAATCTCAGCCTCTCAAATATGACATTAAATAAGAAAGAAAGATTAGTTCAGCGAAGAGTTCTCTTTTCGGCGAATTCATTTTCAAAGCTGTACAATCACAAATCTTTATACTTATTTTTACAGGGTGATAATAATACTGACAATAAAACTTCTGTTATACATGGTGACAGTGAGGTTAAATAAACAAACGTATTAGAAAAAAAAAATTTCAAACAAGGAAAGTTTAATAATCGTTTGATAGTTAATGGCTTAAGTATTCATTGGGTAAGGATGGCTCAGCATGATAAAATAAAATGTTGAAACAGAGATGAAATGTGATCGGAATGATCGTGCAAATAAAAACAAACCGGTTGGGGTTGGATTCCCATCAGCCGAAACAGAAACTTAATAATAACTCTCGCCACAAGAATACGAAGAATCTGTAGCCCCGAGGTCGTAGAGGAAGAATCGAGCCTTTTAAAAGAGATACTTATCAAAAACGGATATCCTCCTACATTCATTGATAAGAACGTGAAGCCGAAAATGCCAAAACCACAAATAATTACAGTAGAAAAGAAAATTTTATACATGAACATCGATTGCAAAGGTGATAGAGCCGCATATATCTTGAAGAGGAGGATTTCGGATTCTTTAAAAAAACATTCTTCGCAGCAACATTGCGAATATTATTCTCCAGCCGATCACTGTTCACCAATAATCTGAAAAATAAATTATCGCATCTGATCAACTCAATGTGCATTTACCAATTTACCTGCTCTTGTGGAGCTACGTATATGGGTCGTTCGATGCGTACTTTACCCAAAAGAATTCAAGAACATTATCCGGCGTGGCTAAAAAGAGGAGGCAACGGCTCAATAAGAAGTTCTATAATCGAACACCTTGTGAACACAGGTCACTCAATCAAGACAGACTCTGCGTTCAAAGTCATCTACAAGGTAATTAGAAGACTTCCTAAGATAATTAGACTGCATCTTTGCATTTCCGAGGCAATGGCTATACATTTTGAAAAACCAGAATTATGCGTACAAAAGAGACTGGTACAACCTCTTCTTCTACCATGGTCTTAATGTATTAAAAAAAATTTTCTCTTTCTTCATACTCTTGTTCCCTTACAGCCACCTGCTTCACCTTCCATATTCCCTTTAAATCTTCTACCTCCAAACGGTTTGTTTTTATTTCCACGATCATTCTGATTACATTTCATCTCTGTTTCAACATTTTATTAAACTTTCCTTGTTTTATAAACAAAAAGATTTTTTTTCTAATACGTTTGTTTATTTAACCTCACTGTCACCATGTATAACAGAAGTTTTATTGTCAGTATTATTATCACCCTGTTAAAATAATTATAAAGATTTACGATTGTACAGCTTTGAAAATGAATTCGCCGAAAAGAGAACTCTTCGCTGAACTAATCTTTCTTTCTTATTTAATGTCATAATGGGTGTATTCTGTTTATGAAAAAAAATCTCCAATATGAATCTTGTATTTCAAACATACTGGGCTTATATACAAACCAATCAGACTAAATTGTACCATAAAATAGGAAACTATATTTGTACAAGGTCTAGGCAGAAGTGGCTGTGAATATGGAAGATAGTAATCGATAAACTGGGCATAACTCAAAAATGGTAAATCGTATCGTATTAGTGTGTGTGTCAAAATAAATCTTATAATAAGTGGAACACGAATATGCAGATAGTTAAGTTAGTTAACAATTATACCATAAATGTATACGTATAGTATTAGACCAGAAGTTATATATTTATAATATACCCTTGTGGGCCAGGGTAATTTTACATTGGTTTTCAGGAGGACCAGACACCATCCGGACTTTCACGTGACAACCCAAACAGTACAGCTCAACCCCATTTTACAGGAGAGTCAGACACCCTCAGGCTTACACTTTATAAACCGAGCAGTACAGCCTAATCCTGCTTCACAGGAGAACCAGACACCGTATAGGCTTTAACGCTACAATCTAAATAGTACAGCTCAATCCTGTGGCGCAACCACACAAGTACCAAGCACCGTGGTGGACCAAAGTTATATATTTATAATAAAGCCTTGTGGGTCAGGGTAATTTTACATTGGTTTTCAGGATTCCAACAATTACCATTCATTATTCTGATTGAGATCTAAAAAGACACGTTGTAATGAATTGCTTCATTTTAAAGTAGGAATTCGTGTGTGTTTGTAAATGAATTATTATTAGTTATTGAATCAGTAAGCCAACCAAATTCTAATTGTTCAATTCAATCTATTGTACTGATACAGTGATTGTAGGACGACTGTTCAAGAATGTTGAAAGATATGCGTATTCTCCATTGATCTAGAAATTTAAAATAATTTGTAGATTTACATAAAACTTTGATTTATTTTATTTTTTCCATAATAAAAGTGCTTATACAAGTACTCGTAATCAATTCAATATCTTGTATGAACCATACATAAAGTCTATTTACACATTCATTATAGAATATCCTGAAGGGATTAGTAGTAATCACAGTAACAGGAATTAGACTTACGAAAGATTCATTCGATAAAGTTATTATTTTCTATCTCTCCTTGTTTAACACACAATTCATATACATCTGAGTATGACGTAATTGATTGTAATATTTGTCATTACAT